ATTTTTTTTTTTTTTTTTTTTTTTTTTTTTTTTTTTTTTTTTTTTTTTTTTTTTTTTTTTTAGTTATTTTTAGGCTTGGTCACCAGACCTACTGTGTAGGAAATGTATGATCTTGTAATAAGAATGAATAGGTTGCATGCTCAAAGACCTCTTTATCAGAGTTCAGTGTAGCTGCTTTTACTGTCTCCCTCAGCAGCTCGAAAAAATAAGCTTTCAGAATTTTTGTCTCTCTCCTTCAGCTCCTGTGTAGTGAGCTCCCCCATTCTTTTCCTTGCCCTAACAGAACAGAAAAACCTTTCTCCTTCCACGAGGCCAGAAAAAGACTTCTGTAGTATGCTGGAAATGCCCTGAAGGAATATTGTTCACTTACCTTTAATGATTTTATCTTCCTTAGACATGGGTAACACACATATAAATAAATGGAGACAGTATGCATATATGCCCATTACTAGGGAGAAAGGCTGTAGACTCATCTGAAAAGGATCTTTCATACTGTCAGCTTTAACTGGTATGTAAAGATGACAACTCAAGTACCAAAAATCAAGCTCATTTATGTAGTTTTCTTATGAGCATGTTTAGTAGCAGCTTAGCTGCATAGAAATGTTCAAATCCAGGCATCATTTTTGAGCTTAAAGCTAATTTCTGTCTCAACTATCTGTCTTTCAACAGATGTCACTCTTTCTTAACTCAGTCCGTTTTGGTGTTGTTCCCCCACTTCTCATCCTGCTTCTGTTTGCAGGAGATTGTTGCCTTGTGGCCTTGTTGCTGTGCTTACTGTCTTTCCTTCTCAGCTGAGCGGATGAGGGCAGTTGACACTCAGGTCAGTGGTGGTTTCTGCTTGTCTCATACACGCTACATTTTTGTGACTGACTCGTGAGCTGCTGAGACAAACTTCTGTAGGGACATTATGGATCTGGGCCTTAGGGTAGATGGGGCATAAGCAGGGCAGATATAGTGTGGTGTTTCTTTTAATAGGGGAAAACCAGACCTCTACAGTGATTTTTTTTTTTCCTGACATATATAATGGATTAAGTAAAGAATAGAAGAACAGTTTGGTTTAAAGCTTGAAGCAGAGCCTACTTCATGCTGTTGCAGCTTCTCCACATCAAAGGAGGAATGTGTGACACAATCCCTGCCTAGCACAGGTATGGATTCCTTACCAGGTTTTCTGTAGCTGTAATGAAGTAATCTCAGGAAGAGAACAACCACATATAAAGTCACATTTTTTCAATACTATTCAAAGCAGTCTTTATGCTGGCCAAAGAGGCTGGCAAAAAGGCATTTGTGTCTATTCCCACACCAAAGTTCAGTTCACAGTCTTGTAAATACTGTCAGTGTAAGCACTGCCCTCTGTTATACTGAATTTCCTAGTGCAGAACGCTTCACTGCTGTTGTTTGATTCTTTGTGCCCATTGACCATGCTTGCTGATTTTTATTGTGTTTTGGAGAGTAGAGGATTCAGATGGTCCATTTTATAGTCACCATTTCAAGAAAGTAGGAAAGCCATAAGGTAACCTGTAAATTATCAGAGATTACGCTCCATCTAAAGTTGGCAAATGTTATGCTTATATATGGTAATACAAAATTCTACATTAAGACAAGCAGAAGAGAGCTTGATTTATTTCATTGAAGACTATCAAAAAAAATGTGCCAGGACTGGAAAGTTACATCGACCCTGTCTTTTAAAGAGTGATGCAGAGAGTGACAAGGAGCATGGTAGATGTATGAGATACATCTGAGGCTTTGTCCACACTACACATAGAAAAGTCACCCGTATTTTCACTCTGTAGTCTCAGTGAGTAGCTTAAAAGTGAGACATCTGTTGTGGTTTTAGGGGTAAATAACAGTTCTGTGAATCTTGATGTTCCATGTACTACCTCTCACCCCTGAATTTGAGAGAACCTGGACTCTACAAAATGCAAGAGGGAATGAGCAGCTCAGCTGAATGTGAAGTCTGAACTGACCTTTTAACTGCTGGAGAAAAAAAAGACACATCAGAAAGAAGAAAAAGGAAGAGAGAAGGGGAAGGTGCTATTCACACCTTCTAAATTTAGGCGTCCAACCTTAGGTACCTGCCTGTCTTAATTTAGTTTGGAAAGAACCAATGCTCTTAAATTTAGGATCTCCAAATCTTACCTTAATGCAGTGTATGAAGTGGGTGGTGATAATGCCTCTATTCCTTAATCCCTGGTGGGGGAATGAAAGCGGAAAAGTCAGCTCAGAATGTTGACCATAGTAGACTGGCTCTCCCTGGAATAATTTGTAACAGTTTATGGAGCTTAGACCCTAAGTTTCTAAGCAATCTGATCCCATTGTTCACTTTGATGGCTGCTATTTCTAATGGAATTTTTTCTTAACATGTAAGAGTTAAAACCAAAAGAATTAAAGTGAGAGACAGTCTTTAGGGGAAAAAATAATGCCCACGTGTTGAAATTACATCCAGGAGGTTACACTCTAGCTCTGCAATTTGCCTCTAAGCTTTCCATACTTACTATTTATTTTTGCAGTTACGTACGAACACACAGTGCTGTGGGTGGGGTTTAGATTGCTCTGACTGGGGCAGCAGGTAATGCTGAACTGTCATTTCCAGTGAGCATTAAATATTGAAAACAGAATCAGCCTCTCTTTGGCAAATCTTAAGTTTCCATTAGCAGCAGATGGTATACAAGGCAGGGCTAGGCACCTACCTATAAAGACCTCTTGTTTCTCAACTGCATATCTCTACCACCTGACAGCCAGTCGTGCTCTGATTAGAGTCAGAGGAAGTGGGTGTGCCTTCCATTAGCAAAGGCAGAAAGTAATATTGCTGAAGACTTTTTCTCTTGAGAGCTTTCTTTTTGTGACTCCTCATCTTAGAACCACTTCTCTGCACAGCGTGCAGTGCTTTGTGAGATGCCTGAAAGGTGCTGCAGAACATGAACTGTGGCATTTGTGGTGCTAAACAGGATTTGGTGAGGTGGGGGCAGGGAGGAACTGGAAACCTGTGTCTTCAAGTAGCTCTCATTTGAGCACTCTGGTTTCAAAAAGCAAGTGAAAGCAGATCAGCCACTGAGGCAATGTAAGGACATGTGTGATTAAATGTTAGTCATTCCCCCTTAGTTGCTTGCAACTGTAGAGTAGAGCAAGGTGCAAGCTGGAGTTCTAAAAAAAATTGACTTTGCTACCAGAATTGAATGTGTAGACTAAAGTCCTAGACTTAGGAAGGCTAATTAATCAGAACAGTGCAGTAAGTGTGGCCCCCGTACACTGCAGATGTCCACCTGTTTGTTGGCTTTACTGTGCTATGCTGCAGTTACCCCGAGACAAGGGCTGACCCACGGGTGATCCCAAGGCAGTCTCCTGTTGCCACTCTGTGGAGTCCCATCTTGGAAGGCAGTCCCCAGGATGGTTTGGTAGCCTTTACTTTAAAGGCAAGTCTTCAGTAGGTTTTTGCACGCTGTGATTACCCGTGGGAGCTGCTTGCAAAGATCAGAGCGCAGAGCAAGTGGGGCTCTGGTACATCCTGCACCACTGCAAGCCAGATCAATGCCATCTCTGGCACCTCTTAAAGTTCGTGGTGTATGTAACTGCACTGAACACTTAGAGGGACAGCAGCAGCTTCCTGGGAGTCCTACAATTTGGTTAGAATTAGTCATCACTACAGAGACTTTGGAGGACTTTGGATTCCGCTTTAATAAGCTGCAAACATTTAGCTCAGGATTTACATCATAAATCTTGCTTTTTTGTTCTACTCAAACAGGAGTGTCTACAAATCAGGTTAATATAATTTAACAGTACAGTAGTTAAGTAACAAAAAGGATCATAATTGGTAGTATTATCTAAGAAGCCAGAACAACCCTGCTTACAGCTGTCAGCTAAGATCTGACTCATCTAAGGTATTTTATAGCAACCATATGTTAGGCACGTCTATCTCACCTATTATGCAAAAAAAAAATGATAACGTTTCCTAATCAGGATTTGCCACTGAGCAGGATTTTCCGTAAACATCTCAGTATTGCAAGTGCTATCCAGAGTCAGGAGAAAACCTTTTGCAAGACACTTCTGATTTGTTAATTTAATAAATAGAATAAATGGTTACAAATCTTTGGCTAGTACTGATTCAGCAAGGCTGAATTTGAACTGTAGTTCAAATTACAGGTACGTTATTTTGGCAATTGAAATGTTAAAATATCCCTTTAGTACAAAATTCCTGAAGGTGACTACTAACCTTTTTGCACTTCTTGTGCATAAAAGCCTGGGTGTTTCAAATTGAAGACATGGTCTCAAAGCATGTGATACATGAGAAATACTTCACTGAGACCAGTACTGGTATAGTATCTTTACCTGCATGGACAGAAGAGGGAGGGTGATTTCATATCAGTAGAGGAGACCAAGATTAAAAAATGTTTGAAAATATTACAGTCTTTTGATAACAATGCAGGTGGTTAAGCTAGAATAGTAATTGCACTTTAACAAAGGCATACGCTGTTGCAAACCCCATAGGCTGTTGATTTTTGAGAAAGTTTTAGATCCAGTTCACTTTTACAAAGAAACCTGCCTAAACCTACACCCCCCTGCAGTCTGACTTGACTTCTTGCACAAAGATTCATTGTATGTCCATCAGCCTTAACTATTCCCAAGCAGTCTTAAGGAATAATATGGGGGATGAAGCTGCAGTCCCAACACTTCCTTCTGTTCTCAAAAGGGCAGTAGTTTTACTGCTTAAAGCTCTGATTGACTTTGAAGCTTTTCTGAATACATTCTTTTTTTTCTGAACTGTGGGGTCTCACTAAATAAAAAAAAAAAAATTAAAAACAAAACAAAACAAAAACAAAACAAAAACAAAACAAACAAAAAAAAAAGTAGATGTTTTTGCTGCTTAAGGTCCTTGGCTTGTTCTAAAATTTCACAACTAGAAATGTAGTTAAAGTGTTTCTTCCTTATTAAGATAACTTTTCCAGAGAGCACTTGAAATCTTGGAAAACAAGTGATTTTACATTAGCCCTCTACAGCTCTGGGTCAAAACATGTCATCTCTGCTAACTATTCATTTCTAAGATCCTCCCAAGCTCTGCTCTTTTGTTCACTGAACATCTGATGCTTCTTGTTATTCTTCTATAACCACAGATGTGCCCTCTTCAAAAAACTCACAATCTCACAATACTAAACTGACAAGCTGAGTGTCAAACCACACACCCCAAGCAGCCCTGAAGAAAAACAGAATCGCGCTTGAAGGAAAACAGAATAAATCACACGAATTGTTTCCAAAGAACGAATCTGAAACATTTCAAACGGTGCACAGGCATTGTTTCCTAAGAATGCAAATGCCATTTTTATGCTCACTTACTGTATAATCAGAGGCTGCTCTCAGAAAGAAGAGATAATTTTGAACAACTTTTTATTTCCTTGTTAGGGTGAGTTTTATCTCCTTGAGCTGAACTGGAGCCTTGCTATGGGACCAGGATGGGTCTCTTTTTTTGCAGAAAAGCAGCAGGGCTGTTGCTGTGCTGGCTGAGTTACACAGCGGGGTCAGTGAGGCCGCTTACCGGGGATTGTGCGGTGTGTGCATCGGAGCCCCGTGTGCTGCTGGCTGAGAGCAGCCGAGAGCTGGACAGGACTGAGAGAGCTCCCTCTGCCTGAGCGGCCGCCTCTCTGCTCTTGCGGGTGCCTGGTGACAGAAGGCTCTTTGGGCTGAGTGAGGAGATTTGTCCATAACTCTGTGGCCAGGCTATAGCAGGACCCACAACTCTTCAGCTGCAGGGCCTCTCTGCATCTCCCCTCCCGCTGCAAGTGCTGATGTGGGACAAGATTTGGTCCACAATGCTGTAGTTCTAAGGTGCCAAATATGTGTAATTTGGCTTGGCAATAATTCTGTAACTTACCTGAAAGGCCTTATGATACTATCCCACAAAGAATGACATGTAAAGGCAGTAGAAGGGGTCATTTTCATGCTGAAAAAATATTCAAGACCAGCTAGCTGGTTTATTAATTAAACTGTCAAGCACAGTTCACACTTCGTGCTGTCTCCTTCTCTCTACAGTTCAAAATTTGTCACAGCATAAAAAACCTCAGTAAAAATATAGAAGCATAGCTACAAACATGTATCTAGCTGCCTTGAAGGCTCTCTGTCAATATGTAACTGGAAGATAGTGCTGTTGTTTAAGCTTCACTGAAAAACTTCTTTTTTTTAATCTGATGATTCAAAGACAAAACATTGACCTCCAGTTTTGGTACTTGACTGATGATCTTCTGTAAAGATCTGTGTAGGAGTAATGCTGAGTTCTGGGTTACATCATTTATATATCTAGAGTTTGAGTCAAAAGTTGGATTTCTTTTTTCCTAGTTCATCTCTATCTGATGGCCTTGAAGATAAGAGATGATGCCTGAAGCAAAGCTGATAAAGTCACCAGTGCCAAGAAGCAGGGGGTGGGAGGGGGTGGGGAGGGACACAACAGCATAGATACATATCTTCACATCCTTATTTCCTTTACAAAGGGAGGAAGGAAGTTCCCTGCAGGTTAGCCAAAGAGTATCCGCTCCTACAGTTCTAAGAGGTAGCAAAGTACAATTTCCAAGAGCTGCAGGCTTTCAAAAATATTGAATTCAGTATTTCACAGATAATACCCCATAAAGTGTTTTCTATACCTAGTGCTCCTGAAAAACTTCTGCTAAAAATTCACAACTGGGTGTACAGCCACAGATACAGACACTCACCCCACCGTTTCATATCTCTACTCCCTTTCTGTCCTGTCTTCCAAATCCTTCCTGTTCTTCCCATCCCCGTGCCTGGCTATTCCTTTCTGCTCTACCCCTTCCCTGACTCCAACAGCTGGCACTCATTCTCCTACCTGCTCCCGGTGTGCCCTTGTAAAGATCCCACCTAACAGTCAGCTTCCACGACAGGAGAGCCCTGGGCTTCCCACCCCTCCTGCTGGCTCCCTGCACCCCAGGAAGGCTCAGCACTGCCCAGTGAAGGCCTTGAGTCTCCCACCCTTCCACCCACATAGGGAGCTGCTGCAGGGAACCTGCTGCAGGGCTCATTGTTTCAGCACAGGGTGGCAAACGGGCCATCTCTGCCCTTGATCCTCAAAAGTGGCTCACACGTGTCCTTGGTTTGGTGCCTCTCTACAGCTGGGAGGGCACTGCCCTGGGGCCACGTGGCTTGTGCAGACAAAAGTACTCATATAAGGATTCCTAAAACAGCATCTATAGGTTATTATGAAGGTTGTCTCTAAACCAGAAATGAATCACCCAACAGCTACAGCAGTGTTCCTGTGCAGAGATGATTAAGAATTTTTATGCAACTTCTTTAATCAGAAGAGGCCTGCTTGGTTGAAAATGAAACCTTTGCAGGAAAATATTGGTTTTGATCAATTTCTCAACTTGAAAAAGTGTCCATATTGTCAATGGGTATCACTTCAGCATTTCTAAACATACAGAAAGGGGAAAAAAGAAAAAATTAAGAAAATCAAGTTTCAAGTCACTTTTCATTTTAAGATGGGTTAAATTTCATTTGTGATCAAGTGGAGTCCAGCCCTTTTAACACACCTTACACCATGAGTTTATTGTTTGCAAAAATTTACATTTTTCACCTGTCCTCCCAAATTGATTGTTGTAGATTACACTATGTAAATACTCAAATGTATTTTTCCTTAGTAGAAGTACAGTATTTATTTTTAAAACTAATGTGATGAGGAGCCATAACAGCTTTGTTCAGAATCTCCTGCTATGTAAGAATCCCCAAATAGTAGCTCCAAATAGACTGTTGCCTATCAAAGTCATTACCTTTCATAATGCAACCTCAGGGAAGATTTTACTGCTGAAAAAAATATCCATTCCTACTTTTAACTAATTGTTGTAAGACATTGTTTAGTGTCAGAACTTTGACCAGGATTACAAATTCACCACTGAAGATGGATCAAACTAATCGGTGGTTTCAGAGGATCATGCGTATTTTTATTTGCGGATTTTTTGACTGAGCTAATAGTCTTCTTATGGCATATTTACATTTATTGAGGTGAGCTCTTTGCCTGTTGAGGACACCTTTAAGATGATTATCAATTAGCTGTTTGATCATCAGTTTCAAAGCATTTTCCAAAGATACTAAAGCCCTTCTTACAGAAACAGAAAGGGGAGTGGAGTGACTCATCCAAGGCACATGGACTGTATCAGATGCAGAGGCAGAAATAGACTCTGAGCCCCTGGTACCCACACTCATGGCCAGGGCACTAACGTGGCTTTTACCAGAACTGATAGAGGCATCTCACCACTTTGCAAAGGAACATCCCTTTCTGGTGGAACACACATTTGAAATTCAAAATGTATTTGCTTGGTTTTTGGCAATACACGCTATAATGCCTCCCTCACTCTTTTGCCTAACCCTACCCAGAGCAGGAAGAAAAATAAAAGTCCATTGAGTGTATTTTTCTGTATCAGTTGCTTTGCCTTGATGTTGCTGATACCGTAAACTTGGCTCCACACCAAACAGAAACGTTACAATTGAACTGGGTCAGATTTTCATAAGTAATCACCACCAGACTGGGGTCATATCTGTAGCTATACCCACTGCAACCTTTAGACTCAGTTTTGAATGTGGTTAAGTATGTTGAGGCCAAGCACTGTAAAATAAAGAGACTAAAAGCAGACCGTGTGCTCTGGCCTCAAGTGTGAATGCTGAGCTCTTTGAGGAATCTGAGCCACTTCATCGAGCTTCTTGTCTATTTATAACCATCCTGCCCATTGAAGAAGACGAGGCTACAGACATAAGGAGAGCTGATGGTTGGGGCAGAGCTACATGGGAGATGTTTGGAGAGCACAAGAGAGGAGCACTATGGGGATGGAGGGTTTGATATCCTCTAGCTCAGTGCTGCTCATTAAAGCCACCAACAGTAAACCCATGGGGTTAGCCCAGGGGCTTTAAACTGCCCTCAGGGAGAAGAAAATGTAGCCAGTCTGGTAAAATGGACTATTCTAGGCTATAGCAGAAAGAAAGCAGGATGGACTAGACTAATTAATATTACTTTATAAGAGTCTTGCAAAACCAGAGTATGTTTGAAAGCAGCAATGAACTTCAGGTAAAAGATGAAAGAGGGTATGAGAGACAGTCCAAGGAAGCCTCGGCCAAGTGGTTAACTACTATTACAACAACCCAATAGTTCTGCGTTAATTTGGGATGATTAAGGAATAAAAAATGCCTGGGGGTTGGGCATGGGTGGGAGCTGTTGTTACAAACTAGTAAGGTTGTAAATCTTGGCTGACTCTGAGCAAAGATTGTAAGTATTTGTTCATAGTTCTAGGTGGGTTGTTTTGGGGTGGTTGTTGGAGTTGTTTTTTTTTTAAATCCAGGCCATCCGTGTAGAGGCACTTTTTATTCAGTGAATTGCATCAGCACAACAGTCACAGTACGTACAGCATGTGGCAGCTCTTGCTGATCTTGCCAGCTTAGAGCCCATGACTAGCACTGGCACTTGTTCAGAGAGGGGGGTAAGGAAGTGCCAG